ACTAAGCTGTCATGTTGGCGGTCATCAAGGAAAGGGAAGATGCTATAGGCTGATTAAAGTCACATATGGAAGCATCGCTTTTGGTATACAGTAGAAGATACAATGCCTAAGACATGAAGAAACTCCTTCTATGCCAATTTGATCTTCTTATTCCAGAAAAAGGCCAAAAGAAGTGTTGGCCCCCTAGCAAATAAAACACATTTATTGAGGTCAATTAATGTTCCAAGTACTCTCTATCAACTTTGGTCTATAAGGCTGAATCATATAATTTAGCCAATGTATTGCTTCTAATTACCCAATAAGGTTAATTAAATCGTCATTGGTTGTATTGTTAACTTTTCAAAAATTATTAATAGAAATGTGCATTTCTGGATCAATGTGAGAGACTGAACACATATTTTTAACTTCTTCCTTCCAGAGATGCCTGTGAGATGACATTAATGGACTAAGAAAGGTTTACATTCACAATGCTGAAGAAAATGGGTTGATGATCAAGGGAAAAAAAGATCAAAATTCTTTAGACACATGAAAAGAAAATTGAGAAAGGCTTACTGATGAGGTCAGAGCTGCAGCTCAGGATAAGTGAGTAGGTGGCTGTAGCCAAGATGGTAGCAGATGAGCATTGTGGATTTTAGACAGAAAGGTTGGCATTTGATATGCTAACTAAAGAATGAAGATTAAAACAGAGAGATTAATTACAAATCAGTAGGTAGTATGATTGACTACCTAGCTCTCTCCATTCCAGACATTTACCACCACTCACCAATTACTAAAGAATGCACTATCTGATGAGAACTAAGGTAATTGATATGGACATGGAAGATTCAGCGCATCTTGGTTTTAAAGTCCTAAAGTGTGAGATCCCCATCCTCTTGGGAGCAATAATTGATAAGAAATGCATACTACTTAGAAGTTACATTCAGTTCTTTATTGTCTCTTTCTTAGGACTGAAGGTTTTTAACAAAAATTTTTTTTGTATAAAAGAGCTTAATATTTTCATGCAAGCAAGATGGCTTTGTTGTACCACTGATAATTTAGGGATCAAAACAAAAATTAAAGAAAGTCTAAAATTTAAATTTGTAACATTAGAAAGCTTCAGAAAGATATTGTACCTCTATAAACACACATACACACAAAAAAAAACAAAGAATAAGATGATATAAAAAAGAAATGATTGGAACACAAGAAAGTGATTTTACATGTTTAATGTGAGTGGGGACTTAAAAGTTCTATGGCATGGTTGTAAAACAAGAAAAAAAAATTCCATAAATACATAAAATGAAGAATATCAGAAAATTTTATTTAAAAATCATAATTATAGGCAACTAACACAATAGGTCAAACATCCAACTGACTGGAATTTAAGGAAGAGAGAATATAAAAAACATGGGGAAATTATCAAATGTAATAATGTAGAAAATTTCCTAAGCTGAAAGACACAATACATTGGATTAAAAGACCCAGGTAGACTAAAATACCTATTCACCATAGGGGGAAAGTTGAGAACCCCAAGGCTAAACAGAAGATCTTAATGTTTCCAGAGTGAAAAAGCAAAACAAGAAAAAATAACTGACTGGCTTTAAAATTTCAGCAACAGTGGATTTAAGAGGACAATATAACAATGCCTTCAAAGTTTTTAACTCTTGTGCTATAATTCTATGCCTAGCAAAATTGTAAAATGTGAAAAAAAATGAAAACCTTTTTAGACATTTAAGCATCTGTAATGGTTATTTACCATAAATCTTGTCTTAGTATGTTACTCTTGGAAGTATTTTAGCTAAATTAAGAAATAAACAAAATTCAAAACTGAAAAAACAAATTGATTAAGTGCTTCATGAAGGCAATTAGTAACTAAAAGTAAAACAAACTTTCTAATAACTGAATTACAATGATATAATTATCATTATTTTAATACAATAGCATAACCAATGTATTCATTTTAGATTTTAAAATCAACTTAAAGACAAAGATTGGAGGAATTAATTTTATTAATTGAATGGAATCAACCTTGACAATGTAATAGTAAAAGTATATATGACAGAGTCAAATAGTAAAAAGAGAAACAAGAAAAGGGAATCAGAAGGGTAATAATATCCATATCTTCATATATAATGTTTAGAGTCAAGAATACTGCATATATGATATAGAATAAGAAATAAAAATCCAAAAACTATTATTTAAATTTAACAAAATTAAGCAATATAGCATCTAAGTTTGGTATTATAATTATGCTGAGAGCAAAAGATGAAGTGAGTTTGGTTGAATACATCCTAATAAGAAAGCCAACTTTATTTATGCAGTTTCTAAATGAAGAAATAGCAACATTAAAGTTTTAAAAGTATGAGAAACATGAGAGCAATCACTGGAAGAAATAGTTAAAGAGGAGAATGTATAGAGGGTTGAGGCAAGATAATGTCATGTTTGGTTTTTTAACAATCTTACTTGATTTAATAAAACCAAATCTATATATTACTTTAATAAGCAGAAACAAATTTAAATATATAAATGTAGATGTGCACCATGCAGTTATAAAATTTATGAAAGTAGCCAGGCTGCACTCTCCAGCAATTATTTTCTGATGGTAACCCATGGCAGCCACCATAGGGAATAACTGTAAGTCTAATAACCATTTTGAAATTCATAAAAATCTAAGGAGCTTCATACTCAGTTCATTTGATCTACTACTCCTACACCTTACTCATCATATTTTTAGCTTTTACTTATTTTCTAAGTATGTTATAACTCAACGGTCTTTATTTTTCTGTCTTTACCCCTGCCTTATGTAAGATGTTAGAATGTGTTGACACTTTTGATGACTCACTCTTGGAAATTGTGTATTTTCTATGTTCTGTGACTATTTTCTCCTCATTCCTCTTATACATTTTCAGTTTCTTTTCAATCTTCTTTGTGGATATCTTTTCTTTGCCTTTGTATTAGGTCCCAGGACTTTCTTTTCATGCAATTTGTGGGTGCGAGTGTCTAGAAACATGGCTTTACATAATGACTCCCAAATCTATATTTAAAGTCTAACTTCTTTTCCAAAGTTATTCTTTCACAAATAAAATCATACTGTTCATATCCATTTAAATAACTCACTAGCACCTCAAACTCAACCTGTTGTGAAATCATAACCATTCTTTTCTCCACCTGTTCTATTTCAGCAAACAACTGCTCCTCCTAAAATAGTTCTATTATCTATGTATTTTACCAATATTCATAAAACATCACATTCTGGAATGATCACCAAATATACCTTCATCACTTACCATTTGTACAGTCAACAACCATGTTGACCCTTCCTCTGTAATATTATAACTTCAAAATGAAGGCTCTCTGCCCTGTCTGTTGAATCTGCCTATTGCTTTGATATGATTCCTTTATCAAAGATTTCAATGGCTCTTGTATCTTTCATTATTCCTCTTCACAAATGATCTGTCCCATCTAAAGTGAGTCTTGAGTTTCTCTAAAACTTTGATGGTCATTTTATCTTCAAGTTTGTTTCTTTCAGTAACACTGTTATCTCCCTTTATTCCACTTGCCTGTATCCTAGTCAACCTTCAAATAAAGCTTGATCTCATCTCTTCCATAAAATCGTTTCTTGTCCTACAAATATTTGGAGATCACTCACTTTTTTGAAGCCTTTGGAACTCATTACCTATACCAGTTACTTGACACTAAATCTGCTCTATATGTGATTTGTTTTACTCATTAGATATTAAAGGTTACTTAAGAACAAAACCTATCTTATGCCTCTTAAAATTCCCAATATTTAACAATGTGTACTATACATTGCTAGGTTCTCAGGACATACTTTTTGATGAGATAAATAAAACACCTTTAGAGAATGTATTTTCCCAATTCTTTCATTGGGAAATAATCTATACATTTAGTGTACTATAGTAAAGCACTAGCTTTTTATGAAAAAAATATTTTATCACATACTATGTTATCATAAACTAGGAAAAATAATGCTAACATGTGTACATTACTGATCATTAGAAGCTTAATATGCATTAGCTAATGAAGATGTCCTAAAAATGTCTATCTAAGAACTGTGCTTCTTAACATTTATCAATAGATTATATTTTTAGACTATCAATATAACACATGTTATGCAAGGATATATGTTTTTAAGTTTCCACTAAAAAAGCTAGCTGCGTTTTCTAGAAATTCATTTTTAGCTTTCTGTAAACATTCTTCTAATTATCTGTTTTATGAGATGCACGAATCAGCTATTTAGCCAAATTTGCTCAGTCACAATAATGTTAGCTTGAAGAGCATATGAGTAAAGTTCAAATGGGATTGAAAAAGATGAAATAAAAATAATTAAAAAGATTGGTAGATGACAGACAATAACACTCATCTGAATATTTCTCATCAAAATTGTCCCTATAACCATGATCAGCTGATCAGCAAAAATAGGAAAGACTAGAGTAAATTTGAAAGAGAAGTAATAAAAGCCATCTTAATATTCTTAACTGTGTTCTTACTAAGGCTGAATTCCCAACTTCTAGCCGGAAAGGGTAATTTCCTCTCAGAACACTGGTGTTTTTATTACTTCTTGTATTTATAATTCAGTTCAGCATAAAATATGCTGCAATTAATAAATGACCTCAGAATCTTAACAACTATAGCAACAGATATTATTTTTCACTTATGTTACATACTGATCACATACTACCTATAGTTGCTACACATATTTCCATTCTAGGTCCTCAACTGATGGGGCAGTCCCTAACTGGGACAGTGCTTTTATTAGCGTAGAAGGCAAAGAAAGCATGATGGTACTCCATGATGGATCTTTAAGCTGTTCAGAAATGATGTGTGTCTTGGATGCATTTCAAGGATGAAAGCAAGTTCATGATCTATCCTCCACTAGGAAAGGGCAGTAAATAATTTCAACAATAGAGCATTCTTCTACAATATATTTCTTCCATCACATATATTCGCTTACCTTCTTCTTACATACAAAATATTCTCACCTCTTTCTTGAGAGAGAGAACTTGAACATCTCATGCATCACAGCTCCAGGTGTAAAGTTCAGGTCTCACGATGAGCTCTATGTTAGTTTAGGATGTGGATTCTTTCGATCTAGAGATTTCTGAACTGCAAAGACAAGTTATAACTCCTCCGTAATTTACAACTTTGGAAAAGGGAAAAGATAACTGCAATAAATATTCCTATTAAAAAAGAGAGGGATGGGCAATGCCCAGTAGTCACCGATTCGTTACATACCCATGGAGGTCCAGCTTAGCTCTGGCTCAGCTCCATGTGTTTTCATACGCGTACTCAGGCAGATGGATTATTTTCCATCTGGGATTCTAAGAAGAAAGAATAAACAGCAGGTTGGAAACACAATGACTCATAAAGCTTATTCTGGGCAACCTGCTCATAACTGCTACTCACATTTTATTGCCCAAGAAAGTCACATAGCCAAAACTGACTTCTAGAGCTCAGGAGTAGGTAGTAGGTGGAATAAAGTTTGAAAAATAATATAATCTACCACATTAAGTTAGATTAAGGCTCATATAAGTGCAACTGCACACGGAGAATTGTGAATATGCATTTTTGTTAAATACAAAGACTATGTCAAGAACAAGACCATCTCAGTTTCTCAATACAGTATATGATATAAGCTAGCTTTCTTCCTTTCTTTTTACTTCAGCATATTATGGGGGTACAAATTTTAAGGTTACTTATAATGCCCTTGCCCCCCCCCCCCCCTCAAGTCTGAGCTTCAAGCATGGCCATCCCCCAGACAGTGCACATTTCACTCATTACGTATGTATATACCATCCCCTCCACCACCCCTCCCACCTGCCCAATACCTGATAAATATAATTCCTATGTGTCCACTTAGATGCTGATCAGTTAATACCAATTTGTTGGTGAGTAGATGTGGTGCTTGTTTTTCCATTCTTGGGATACTTCACTTAGTAGTATGGGTTCCAGCTCTAACCAGGAAAATATAAGATGTGCTATATCATCATATGTGGGCAAAATTCTTTAAAAATATAACATATCTTCTCTAGTGTATCTCTTTATAAGTTTCTTTGCTTCTTTGGTACATACTATGATTATAAGAATAATATTTTTGTCCTGAATGACATGCCTTCATTATAATCTTCATTTATAATCTTCATTTATATGCTCTATTTATCAAATCCAAAACCAGCCTATTGAAGTCAACTTCATCTCTCATTTCCAACCTTCCACGCTAAGAGGTTTGCATATATAATAAAATGTAAATAATGTATATTCTTGCCAAAATATGTATCTTATTGTTATTTATGCTGTTTTACTTATAAACTTGGTGATAACATCAAGAACAAGTCCATATAGAAATGGGAGCTTGAAATGAATTTTCTTGAAGTTTGACAAATCACATGCAGGGATAGAGGATTAATCTGGATTCTTTTGACAAGCCAACTCGATCAATAATCTGTCTGAAAAGCAGTGTGGTCAGAATATACAGATATTTACTGAGTATCACTAGTTCAAATATCATAATGAACTGTTATACTCACCAGCACTGAAATGTCAAGAATTATATTTATAATAGTTCTAGTACCTTATTTAGTTTCTCCTTTGATCTTTCATAGTGTCTGCTTAAATGAAACTAACATATTTGCTTTTAATATACAATACATTTCAGATATTAAACCAGTTTAGGTAATATAAATATGCTTGAGAGCAAATAGATTTATAAAATATTTGATATAATTTTAAAAATACTAGCCTTGGATTTGTTGTGTTTTTTGGTTTTGTTTTGTTTTGTTTTTGAGACAGAGTCTTGCTTTGTTGCCCAGGCTAGAGTGAGTGCCATGGCATCAGCCTAGCTCACAGCAATCTCAAACTCCTGGACTCAAGCAATCCTGCTGCCTCAGCCTCCCGAGTAGCTGGGACTACGGCATGTACCACCATACCGGCTAATTTTATATATGTTAGTTGGCCAATTAATTTCTTTCTATTTATAGTAGAGATGGGCGTCTCACTCTTGCTCAGGCTGGTTCTGAATCCTAACCTTGACAATCCTCCGCCTCGGCCTCCCAGAGTGCTAGGATTACAGGCGTGAGCCACTATGCCCGGCCTAGACTTGGCTTTGGATGCTGTTTCTGTGTTTCACATAGAATATTGTGATATTTAAAAAAATAATAGTCACCAATATTTTCTAAAGACATTTGTTTGGTAATACTAAAATATTTTAAAAAGCATCTAATTTATCTTGAATAGATCAGCTATCATTTACATCAACATAGGGTTGCTATTTTGGACCAAAGTGAATCATAAAAACATTTTTAAAAATTCAGAGAATGAAACTCAATGGAAAATTTTTAATAGAACATGTCTTAAAAGGTTCATGTTATGTGTTGTGTAAAATTGTTGCATCATTAAGTTTGGTGCCACAGAAGATGTTTTTTCCCCATGATCATCACTTCATGATTATCTCTATTTTATCTGTTAGAATTATTTTTCTCTGAATTTAGCAAAGACATCCAAAATAATAAATTAAACAAGTAAGAAATTAATTTATCTTTCTTCATAAATAGCCTTTTTCTATTTATAATAGTCACAAAGAGGACACTGCAGCCAATATTAGAAGAATTCTCATTTGTTTTAATTACACAAGGAATTTTCATGAACATTGAACACATTCAAAGCAATTAAATTAGCTTTTACAAATTTCATACTCTATGAACAAAAAGCAATTATTTAGAAATCAACATTAAATGAACTACAAAATATCTTTATATGCTTGAAAATAACAAAAAGGAACAATTTTTAAATAAATTATGGTTTCAAAAATATAATAGATTTTGAAAAATTAAAAAGTAAACAATAATTAAAATACCACATGTTAAATATATGCAATGTTACCCAAATGGGACTTAGAGAGAAAAATATAACCTTGAATATTCACATTAAAAAAGAAGAAAGATTGAAAATTAAAGAGTGAAGCATTTAATTTAAGAAGAAAAAAGAACAACAGATGAAAGAGGATGAAAAGATTTTTTTGGAAAAAAAGAAAGAGCATGAAATGAATTAAATAATAAACATAACAGTACACCTTAATGAGATATATATATTATAAAATGGATACACAAAACCAAAGTTTGTTCTTTGAAACAACTAATACAAGATACACAATTTACTCAAATTAATCAAGAAAAATAATAAGCAAGAGAAGAAAGCAACAAAGACATTACAATTGACCCTTGAACAGCATGGGTTTGAACTGTGTGGATCCATTTATATTTGGATTTTTTTCCAATAAATATATTGGAAATTTTTTTGGAGCTATGTGACAATTTGAACAAAACTTTTAGATGAATGGTATAGCCTAGAAATGTCAAAAAATTAAGAAAGATATGCCATGAATGCATACAACATATGTATATACTAGTCTATTTTTATCATTTACTACCATAAAATACAGACAAATCAATTATAAAATTAAAATTTATGAAAATTTATGCACATATATACAGACTGTACATGGCATCATTTGCAATTGAGAGATACATAAAAAATGTAAAGATACAGTACTAAGTCATAACTGCATAAAATTAACTGTAGTACATATGATACTAGTATAATAATTTTGTAACCAACTCCTGTTGCTATTGTGATGAGCTCAAGTGTTGCCAGTATTTGCCACTCTGTGATGCTAATGCTTGAGCAGTTCATCCCTCCAGTAAATTGCACATTATAGTGAAAAGTAATCTCTTGCAGTTCTCATGTATTTTTCATCACGTTTAGTACAATACTGTAAACCTTGAATCACACCATGGGACCCATAAAAGTGCCACTAATGATGCTGAAAGTGCTCCTAAGAAGCAGAAAAAAGTCATGACATTAAAAACACAATTGAATTATATCTAGATGGAGGTCTGCAACTGTGGTTGCCCACCATTTCAACAGAAATGAATCCAATAAGGACCACTGTAAAAAAAATAAAAAGAAATTTGTGAAGCCTTCTCTGCAACTGTTCCAGCAGGCGAAAAAAACCTTGTACATTTTGCAAAATACGTTTTGCCTCATTTTGAAAATACAACTTTCGTGTGGGTGCAGGCTTGCTATAAGAAAGGCATATCTATGGACTCTCTTGTAATTTGAGAAAAGGTGAAATCTTTTATATGAGAGCTTAAAGCACAAAAAAAATGTGAGACATCTAAAGCTGGAAAATTTAATGCCAGCAAAGGATGGTTTGATAATTTTAGAAAGAGGTTTGGCTTTAAAAATGTCAAGATAATAGGAGAAGCAACTTCTGCTAACCAAGAGGCAGCAGATAAGTTCTTAGCTGCCATTAAATCATTAAAGAAAAAGCACATCTGCCCAAACAGGTTCTTAATGCAGATGAAAGTGTTCTATTCTGGAAAAAAAAAAAAATGCTACAAAGAACATTTATTAGTAAGGAAGAGAAGCAAGTACCAGAATTTAAAGCAGAAAGGGATAAGTTAGTTCTTCTGTTTTGTGCAAATGCAGTCAAGTTTATGATCTGGACTGCCCTTATCTATAAAGCTGATAACCCCTGAGCCTCAAAGGAAAGATAAACACCAGCTGCCAGTTTTTCAGTTGTATAAGAAGACAGGGACAACAAAAACACTTTTTTCTGGATTGGTTCCACTGATACATTGTCCCTGAAGTCAGGAAGTACCTTGCCAACAAGAGAAACCTCTTATTATTCAGCCCTAAGAAACAACGGTGATATAGCACATCTTATATTTTCCTGGTTAGAGCTGGAACCCATACTACTAAGTGAAGTATCCCAAGAATGGAAAAACAAGCACCACATATACTCACCAGCAAACTGATATTAACTGAACAGCACCTAAGTGGACGCATAGGTATTACAGTAATAGGGTATTGGGCAGGTGGGAGGGGGGAGAGGGGCGGGTATATACATACCTAATGAGTGAGATGTGCACCATCTGGGGGATGGTCATGCTGGAAACTCAGACTTGTGGGAGGAGGAGGGGAAAGGGCATTATTGAAACCTTAAAATCTGTATGCCCATAATATGCTGAAATAAAAAAAAAAGAAAAAAAGAAAAAAAAAAGATAAATTTCTTTTTATATAGGACAATGCTCCTGGTCACTCAGAACTCTGTGAGTTCAATGCTGAAGGTATCAAAGTGGTCTACTTGCTCCCAAATATGATATCTTTAATTCAGCCTTTCGATCAAGGGGTTATAAAGATATTTAAGGCTCATTCCACATGGTACCCTATGGAAAGGATTGTCAACACTGTGGAATAGAACCCCAAGGGAGAGAATATCTTGAAAAGTCTGCAAGGATTACACCATTGAAGATGTTATCCTTGTTATCGAAAACTTGTCAAAGCTATTAAACCAAAACAATAAATTCCTGATGGAGAAAACTTTGCACCGATTTTGTGCATGACTTCACAGGATTTACAGCAGAGCCAATCAAAGAAATCTTTGGAAGAGGTTGTGAATATGGTAAAATAGATGGGAGTGAAAGGTTTCAAAATATGAATCTTAGAGAAATTCAAGAGCATATTGACACCACAGCAGAGCAATTAACAGAAGATGACTTGATGGGGATGACTGCTTCTGAACCAATGCCAGGAGTTATGGAAGAAGATGTAGAAGAAGCAGTGCCAGAAAACAAATTGACATTACACTATCTGTCAGAAGGTCTCCAAGACTATATTTTCAGAGGCCATTTCTATAGTTCATTCCTAGAGAAGTTTCTCTGAATGTGTAGAGCACTGGAAACCACAAGGAGGAGACTTAACGTTCTCTTGATCCTGAAGCTGGCTGTTGGTTTCTCTTTGTTGCAGCTGCCACTTGCCGTTGATGATTGTTCTCTTCCTCTGTGAGGTTATATGCAAGACTGCTTTTGCCTGCTTTTATGACATGGACCTTTCTATGACACAGGCACTGAAAAGAAAGCAAATAGTGGAAGAAGGATTGGTACTGTATAAAAATACTTTTAGAGAAATGAACAAGCAGAAAAGTCAGACAGAAATCATGATGTATTTCTGTAAAGTTCCATGATGGCCTACCTCCCCTTCCGACACCTCCACCTCTTTCACTGTTACCACTCCTGGGACAGCAAGAACAACCCCTTCTCTCTCTACGTCTCAGCCTACTTGCTGGATATGAGGATGATGAGATTGAAGAACTTTATGAAGATCCACTTCCACTTAATAAATAGTAAATATATTTTCTCTTCTTTGTGATTTTCTTAATAGCATTTTCTTTCCTTTACCTTAGTTTATTGTAGGATGTATTGTTATATGTATTATATACTGTATATACACAGTATATAATAAATGTAACATAAAAATATTTGTTAACCAACTGTTTATGATATGGGTAAGACTTCCAGTCAACTGCAGGCTATTAGTATTAATAGTTAAGTTTTGGGGGAGTCAAAAATCATAGGTGGATTTTTTTTACTACATTGAAGGTAAATGCCCCTAACACCACATTGTTCAAAGGTCAGCTGTATATAAAGAATAAAAAGAGGAAAAATATGAGAAACTAAACATACACTAAGAGTGTGAATAATTTTATGCCAATAAACTTGAAAGTTTAGATGTAATGGATTCTTTCCTAGGGAAAGTAATTTTAAAAGCCATCTCAAGAAGAAACAGAAATAATGAAAATTATACAGCAATTAAATTAGGAATTCAAAATGTTCCTCAAACCACATAGTTTTGTAGATGAATTATTCTAAGAATTTATATCACAGGTATTTTCTACTTTTACAAACTCTTCCAGGAAATAGAAAATAGGGAGCAACTGGTTTTTTATGAGGCTAAATTTAACTACATAATAAAATCAGGTATCAGGATAAAAAACAAAATTATAAATGAATCTCAATGACAAAAATAGATTCAAAATTCCTGAATGATATATTAGGGGATAAAGGAAGTCCAGCAATTTATTAGAAGAGAAACTAAACAAAACCAGAACATATGATCACCAAGATTTACTTAACCAGGGAATTCATGGCTTGTTTAAAATTAGAAAATATTTTAATGTAACACATCACATTAAAAGAGTAAACCATAAAAGCTTTGTAAGCTTTTATAGATACACAAAAAAGTAAAAATAGTATCCATTTATACATTTACATTTTTGTAAATAGTATCCATTTACAAAAAGTAAAAATTGTATACATTTATAATAAAGAAACTTAGAAAGATCAGGTCATTTACCAAGCACGAGTCAAGGCATCATAAACAAAAGTCAGACTTCATATAATGATACATGAATGTGTTTTCTTTAAATTGTAAAAAAGATACCATGTCTACCTATACTACTATTTATCACATTTATATATCACCACCAACTTACAGCAGATGACTTCACTCATGTCACCAAACCCACAGGCATAACATAATGATGGTTCATCACAATTTTGGGCAGGGGAGTAGGGAACAGGTACTTATTGCAACAATGGAGAAGTAAAGAACCAGCTAATACCCGGGCTACTAGAATATTATCCTCTCTGTAATTCATTATTGAAGTAGCCAGATAACGAAACTTGAAATATGCTTTGAATATATATAAGAGATAAGAACAAAAATTCTATATACTCAACAGTCTCCACTAACTATTTCTCATTTAACCAAAATGTACTGTCTATATAATGCATTATCTTAGACAGGTCATATAGTATTTAATTTGACTATAGACCTATCTTAGTAGCATATCTCCCATAAATCATCACAAACTAAATATTTTAGATTATATTAATGCATAAAAAGACAGGAAAAGACAAGGACTCCGAGAAGACGAATTATTTATATAATCACCACACAAGAATACCATACTCCTGTTTGCGTATTACACATGTAACATAGAAGATAAATAGAGCCACTACCAATAAGGAAGTCAAACATACAACAATTATCACTACAGATTCTCAAAAGTTCTATTACCTCACAAACCCTTTCTCCCATCCTTATGTTGATCCATACAGCCTCGTATTCGAATACCATTACCAGATATGGACCATAATTTCATAAACAATACTATACACACCTCTCAAAGGATAAACACTTTTGAACCAGAAAATTTACCCCATACGCAAAATAGCACCTCAATAAAAAAAAGTATTTAGGGAACCCATCACCTACTCTGATTAGCATAAATAACATACAATACCGAAAAGGCTCACCTGGAAACTCATACATTTTCATACATATTATATACAGCATACTTAACAACAAAATAATTTCCAACAGGTATATCTAAATAATATATGAATAAAATACATAAGATTTTGTAAAACCTCTAAATCTCATAATCTATTTTACTTCATTATACATTCAATCTCACATTGACTAAATACAATATCACACTAAGTAATCAATAATCAATCCAACCAATTAAGTGTTATTACAGTGGATTTTTTGGTTTTCTTTCATAGTGCAAACTAACTAGGTTTCGTCTTTCTACAAAGCTGTTTAAAATATATTAGCACATTTGTTCACACTATGTTACTGTCAAAAGAAACAAAAACTATATATAATCTGTGCCCAAAGTCATGTAAAATGAAAACCCCGAAAAATTTACTGAATATTACCTTATAAAATTACTGGTCACCAGGATGAATTCTCCTCAAGCTCATCTGTATAAATGAAATACGCTTAAGGTCCTCCCATTCTTTACTTGAAGATGTTATGTTTCTTGCAAAAGAATTTTGCTTTATTACTTTGCTACTTATGCAATTTTCTGACTTCAGAGAAAGAATATGGAATTGGATATTGTCTATATTTGTTTCTATGTTAGAACGTAAAGAATCATCCTATTTATTTTTTAAATAATGAAATTGGGTTTTGCTTTTCATAATTTTCTAGTGATTTCATACCAAAACGTAAGAAAGTTAAAATTCAAATTTAAGAAATAATTAGTTACCAAAGAGAGATGAATACAAAAGTCAATATTTATATCAAAATTTTCTAAAAGCGGCTATTTTCCTAGTTGTGCCATATGTAAGTTTTTATTATAACAATATAAATTAAAAATCCTCAGATGAGCATGGTGGCTCAAACCTGTAATCCAAACACTGGGATGCCTGAATCAGGAGGATCACTGAGACCAGAAGTTTGAGACCAGCCTAGCACCAAAGAAGACCCCTTCCCTAAAAAAAAGGAAACAAAATTAGCCCACATGGTGGGTGCACACCTGTAGTTACAGGGACTGGGGAGTTTTGAGCACTACAGTGATATATGATAAGTGCCCTGCACTCCAGCCTGAAAGAGACACAAGCAATGATTCTGTCTCAAAAAAATATTTTAAACTCTCACTCATCATCAACATGGAAATTTTGAACTATAAGAATAAAAAACTTACATACATTATGTGGTAGAAAAATTGAAAAGAAAACAAAACAAAAAATAGAAATCAAACTTCTATTATGACATATTTCTTTTTAGTCAAACTATAATTTTTATACAATTTTAAAATTGTATGGAAATATTCACTTTTCTTAAAAGAAGATCAATAATAGAAAATACAAAAAGCTCAAACAATGTAACTTATAAACACTCAGAAGAGTTGTAATAATTGACTTTGTTAGGGTGATAACTGCATGTCTTAGTGATGTCCTATTTGCTATGAATTTGCAGGTGTTTGAATGATCATCTTATACTGCAATGTCTAAACCTCTACTGTATCAGGGAAGTTTTCCTCTATTATCTCTTTTCAAATAAGTTTTCCACACTTATTGTATTTTCCTCTTCCTTCTCAGGGAATACCCTGTAATTTTTTTATTTCTTCACATTTGCATATCACATATTGCTTTTTCATCCTGTTCTTTTCTCTGCATTTTTTAATGACTATGTGACATCCAAGATCCTTGTCTTCAACCATCTGAAATTCATTCTTCTGGTTTGGTCTAGTCTGTTGTTAGAGCTTTCTGATGTTTTGAAATTCCTAAATGATCTACTTTCAAGTTCTGTAAGTCCTGTTATGCTCTTCTATATATAAGTATATCTCTAAGGTTATCCCTTTATGATTTTTGTTCATGTCTGAATTTTTTTTCCTTTGGTTTTTTGAAATGGCTTTCTTACCATCTCCTCAATTCTATTCAATCTGATTTGTTATCCATAATCTGAATTCCTTATCTGCCATTTCAACAATTTCCTTTTTTTATAGAGTTCATCACTGAAAGGTATTTTGATCTTTTGAGGTGTCTTTTTGAGGGTTCCAATCCCAGCCTATTTTTTCAGTTGCTGGAGAGGTTTTTTGTTTTGTTTTGTTTTGTTTTCTGTTTCTTCTCCATCTAAGGGCCACTTCTGTCAGTTCAAAACAGACGGCAGATATGTTTACACCTGTTCTCTGCTGAGACTTCTGTTGTTCCGTGAAGATAGAGGATTGGGTAACTTAATGGCATGTTTGGTCACTACTTCCAGAGCTTGCCAGGCAGAAATGCACTGTGAGCCTCCCACACTGCTCCTCTGCCACACTCCCCTGTTTCCCTGTGAATGGTCAGTGGGCCCTGTGGCAGGAGCATAGGCCCTGGTGCAGTGCACCACGGGGGTGACAGCTGGTGGAGGATGGTGCCTGCATGTGGAGATGGAGCAGTCCATTGGGCTCAGCTATGAAACTTGCAGGAATTGGGTCAGCTTGAGGTGCCAGATGCATGGCATGTGTGAGGTCCATGCAGGGATGCAGCACGGACACCAGCAGTGCTCCAGGAAGTAGTGGTCCACACGGGACCCTGAACATGTGGTGGATACCCTCATGTGGCTGGCATCAGTTCTCCATGTGGACCTGCTGGGCATCAGTTCACCA